TCAGTCTGTTTTTATCCTTCTGCATAAACGGTTGTATTATTATTCACATAAACTTTTAACATAAATTCTACAGGTTATGGGCCCAGATCCCATGTTTTTTAAAGTTTATTGAATAACAGTTTAGTGCTTTTTTAATCATTATGTCGTCGGGATACTTGGTGAATGTACCGAAGTTAAAAGGACGTGAAACATATGACGATTGGTCGTTTGCAGCAGAAAATTTTCTAATCTTAGAAGATTTAGCAGAATGCATTGTAGAAATGCATTAGAAGGGCGGCACGGGAAATTGATGTGATCAAGGATAAAAAGGCGAGAGCAAAATTGATATTAACATTAGATAAAAGTTTATATGTACATGTAAAAGAAACAAAAACCTCAGCCCAGCTATGGTCAAAATTAAAGGCGATGTATAGTGATTCAGGTTTCACTCGAAGGATTAATCTCTTAAGGACATTAATTTCTACTAGATTAATTAATTGTGAATCAATGAGCTCATATGTCAATAAAATAATAGAAACAGGGCAGAGATTGAGGGGAACTGGATTTCCGGAAAAGTTTTCGCCGATGATTATGGCGATTGAGCATTCCGGTATAGCCATTACAACGGACACAATAAAAACGAAGCTGCTGGATTTAGGCAACGATGTTGCAGTTAATAATGATGAGAGCGCCTTTTTAGCAAAACAAAATGGCAGATACAAGCAGCGCCAAGATTCAAACTCCAACAATTTTGATACTAAAAAGGAAGTTAGGTTATTTAAATGCAAAAGACTTGGTCATTATAAAAATAAATGTCGTTTCAATAATGTGAATAATGAGCCTGATAAAAATGAATTTAACAGAGTTTTTTCAACTGGTAGTTACAATAAAACAGATTGGTATGTTGATTCTGGAGCCAGTATTCATCTTGTGAATGACAATAACAGTTTAAGAGAATACAACAAGAAACCTGATGTACAGGAAGTAAGGACAGCTAACAATATGCAATTGAAGGTAGTGTCTTGTGGCAGCGTTTCTCTTAGGACAGAGGTTTATGGTCAAATTTATGATGTTGAAGTACAGGATGCTCATTATGTACCACAATTGTCAGCAAATTTATCATCTGTTAGCGCCCTTACCAGAAAGGGTAACAGGGTTGTATTCAATGATAATAAATGCAAAATTTATGATAAAAATAACACTTTGGTTGCAGTGGCGGTACTTACAGGTGGAGTATATAAACTCATGACAAAAAATATTAATTGTTTGTTAGTTACAGATCCTAAGTCAGGAAATATATGGCATAGACGGTTAGGACATATAAATAAAACAGATTTGTGTAAATTAAGTAAAGGCTTAGTGAAAGGGCTCACCATATCCAAGAAGGCAACATCAGACATAAATAATTGTATAGTTGGTTGTAAAGGAAAGCAAACTAGATTGCCATTCAAACACAAAGGATCAAGAGCAGTAAAAGTTCTGGAAAATATTGAAGATGTGCCTAGCAAGAACCCAATAGAACCAGTAATGAACAGTGTTTCAGTGGGGGTTAATGAAATGCAGCCTGTAACGGAAAAGGATCAAAATGCTGGCAGTGATCATGAACAAAATATTATAGAAACACGAAAGTCTAAAAGAAAAAGAAAGAAGAAAATGTTTGACGATCAAGCCACATATGCGTGTAACAATTTTCAGAGACCGAGTGCATGGCAATGACAGGTGCTTCTAAAGAAGCGATATACTTAAAAGGTTTGTTAATGGAATTAACGGATATAGATGAGAGTGTATGTTTTTACAATGATAACGAGTCAGCGCAAAAACTCTCATAAAATCCAGTTTTTTAACAAAAGGTCAAAACACATTGATGTGAGACATCATTTCATCAGGAAGCGATTGCAGATGGTGTGATCGATCTAAAGTATGTGCAGACATATGATATGCCTGCTGATATATTCACGAAGAGCTTAAGTGTACATAAACATTTGAAGTTTTTAAAGCTAATAATAGTTAGGTATGAGTACACAAGTTGTTTAGTATAGTGGGGGTGTTGAAGTTTGATACTAAACGCTCTGTGTCTACTATGTTTATGTATATATGTTTGTCTTTTGTTTTATGTAAAAACAAGTGATTGTTAATAATGTTTGTAATGCATGTGATTAGTTAAAGAATATATAATCAGTCAGTCTGTTTTTATCCTTCTGCATAAACGGTTGTATTATTATTCACATAAACTTTTAACATAAATTCTACAACCATGGCGACGGTTACATACGAAAATTGTAAAATAATAGTAATAATAGTTACCATGTAACCGTTGTCATGGTAACCGTTGCTTCTTGAAATTTTCAGTAAAATTATTTTACAAAGTCGGACCAAAATTTTTTTGACCAAAATTATTTTTCCGAAAATTTTTTTACCAAAATTTTTTTGACAAATTTTTGGGCAAAAAAATTTTGGCCAAAAAAATTTGGCCCAAAAAAATTTCGCCCAAAAAATTTTGGTCAAAAAAAATTTGGTATGACTTTGGAAATTGTAAAATAATTTTACTGAAAAAAAATTTTAGTCAAAAAAATTTTGGTTAAAAAAATTTTTGAAAAAAATTTTGGTCAAAAAAATTTTCGGATAAATTTTTGGCCAAAAAAAATTTTTGGTCAAAAAAAATTTGGCCCAAAAAATTTTCGGAAAAAAATTTTGGTCAAAAAAATTTTTGGTCAAAAAAATTTTGGCCCCAAACATTTTGGTCAAAAAAATTTTGGTTAAAAAAATTTTTGGTCAAAAAAATTTTGGCCCAAAAAATTTTTGGAAATAAATTTTTGGCCGAAAAAATTTTTTGTCAAAAAAATTTTGGTCAAAAAAATTTTCGGAAAAAAATTTTGGTCAAAAAAATTTTCGGAAAAAAATTTTGGTCAAAAAAATTTTGGCCCAAAAAATTTTGGGAAAAAAATTTTGGTCCAAAAAATTTTCGGAAAAAAAAATACTTAACTAATTAATTTTTATATTTTGAAGTGTAACTAGTATACAAAGGTGCTAGCTAAAGCATACGGCTGCTTAAAATCTTTTTGACAATAATTACTGAAAATTTCAAGCTGGTAACGGTTACCATGGCGACGGTTACATACGAAAATTGTAAAATAATAGTAATAATAGTTACCATGTAACCATTGTCATGGTAACCGTTACTTCTTGAAATTTTCAGTAAAATTATTTTACAAAGTCAGACCAAAATTTTTTTGTCCAAATTTTTTTGGCCCAAATTTTTTGGCCAAAATTTTTTGGACCAAAATTTTTTTGACAATAATTACTGAAAATTTCAAGCTAGCAACGGTTACATGGTAACTATTATTGCTATTATTTTACAATTTTCGTATGTAATCGTCGCCATGGTAACCGTGCTAGCTTGAAATTTTCGGAAAAAAAATTTTGGTCAAAAAAAATTTGGCCCCGAAAAAATTTTTGGTCAAAAAAAATTTTCGGAAAAAAATTTTGGTCAAAAAAATTTTTCAAAAAAAAAAAAATTTTGGTAAAAAAAATTTTGGGCAAAAAATTTTCGGAAACAAATTTTTGGTCAAAAAAATTTTGGCCCAAAAAATTTTGGTCAAAAAAATTTTGAGAAAAAAATTTTGGTCAAAAAAAATTTCGGAAAAAAATATACTTAACTAATTAATTTTTATATCTTGAAGTGTAACTAGTATACAAAGGTGCTAGCTAAAGCATACGTCTGCTCTTGGCAATTGGACGTTTATCGCCCAACTGGACCCCCTCACCGCGATAAGGTGTCAAACACGAGGGGGGGATTCACTCTGAGATCGACAAAGACTTTGAAATCCGGTTTAGCAAAGTCCGGCATATGCCACAATCGCCCATTTCACGCTGCGATCGCTAGTCGACTCTGGAAGACCGGGTCGACGAACACGAACGCTTCTCACTCGCTCACACGTACTCTAGCACACCATGCAACATGCAACATGCAACACACAACACACAAAGCTGACAGCTCCCTGCTCCCCAAAATCGGTTTCTGAACATTTTGGCAAACCTTAAAAAAATGGATGTATGTGTGTGTGTACGTATACAAATTTTCGTCGACGATTTCGGAAACACGGTTCAATGGATTTCAATTATTCAAAAAACGTTCGAATTGTATTGATAAGGAGACGTGCTGATTAATTTTTGGCATAAGCGGGTCTAGCCGTTTCGAAGATACGGGGGAAAAAGTGCCATAAGCGGTATCTCAGTTTTTGAGAGAACGGGGCGTCCGATTTCAATAATTCAAAAATCATTTTACTTGCATTGACAAGATGAAGAATTGATCAAATTTTTATGAATGCAAATCTAGCGGATTCGGAGATCTAGTAAAAAAAACTAAAAATAGCCATTTGGCGGTCAAAAATAATTATTAGACATATCAAATTATCAGATATTTTATAGAAATTTCGCTTCAATGTAGTTAAAGCAGTACGATTGCTTTGAACAAAAGTTCAAAATTCCCAAAAGATTTCAAAATAAAAAAAAACATTTTTTTTTCAAAAAGTCTTTTCTTTCTAAAAAAAGTAAATTGTCGTCGAAAATTTATAGTTTCTCAAAAATCTATTTTTTCCAAAGTATTTTTTTTTTCAAAATGTTAATTCTTTTAGAAAAAATAATTAAAAAATAAAAAATACAGGAAGTACCAGCAATTTGCCTTAAGGCACGATGCCATGCGCCCCACTAGTTATATAATCTATTTGAAAACATTTAATATTCCTCGAACATTTCGTTACGATACGGGAACGTTTAATAAAACGTTTTTTCTGAGTCTGAAATTTCTAATTAAAACCTCACATTTACAACATAAAATTGGTTTATTTATATTTTTATACATTTTTGTTTTCATAGAGAAAAACGAGCATGTCCACATTGTCGGGTCGAAGGCAATTTCTGCGGTTTGTGATTATATTTCCAGCTGTGGAAAAAACCCTTTCAGATGGTGTCGAAGTGGCTGGTATAGCTAAGTATTTTTTGGCTATCATGGATAGTTTTTTCTATTTGTTTTCATTACGACGCCACCATTCAAATACGCAGTCTCTTTTACTTATTGGTTGCTCAGTAATGTATATATCAATTTCTGATTTTGTAATAGTAGAAATAGCATTGGCTCTTTCTTCATCAAATAATACATCTAAATAGTATTTTCCTATTTCTGAAGATTCTTCTTCAATCGTAATGGGGGATGTCTCTTCCATACGCCTTAACAGCACTATTGCCTTTTGTTTTACGTTATGAGGAACTTCATCTTTGTATCTGGGATCTAATGTGCTTGCCATATCGAAAACTGTTAAATTTCCATCGTCAACATTATAGAGAAATCTATCCATAATTTCAGTTTTTATTAGTTTTTTAAACTTTTTTATATGGATAGATTCCTCTTCATTAATTCTCTCTGAACATCTTCTCATTAACGAAGACGTCAATGGTTTTGCTGTTGACAATGTTACAGCCTTTTCGGATGACAATAAGCTGGTACTCATTTCAAACGGTCTTAACATTGCGACCAGCATTCCTATTTTCGCCCATTCCTGCTCAGTTATTTCAAGTGACACAGCTGTCCTAATGTTTGTCACAGAGCGATCATTGAGAACAGCTGAAATTGCTGGCCGTTGTTCTACCAGTCTTTCAAGCATGTGGTAAGTGCAGTTCCACCTAGTAATGTTCTTATTTATTAGCTTATGTATTGGAAGTTGTAGTTGATCTTGCTTCTGTTTCAAATTATAATAGGCTAAACTAGAATGATGGAAATGACTTACTACATTTCCAGCTTTCTTCACAAGATCATGAACATTACCGACTGAAAGGGCTCTATTAATGCACAGCTGTAGGGTATGTGCAAAGCAGGGTATGCTATCACCAAACAAGTTTCTGTTCTTCGAAACAGCCCCTGTAATGTTTGCAGCATTGTCATGAAAAACAGCAGATATTTTACCTTCAATATTCCAAACTCCCAACAGTTCAGTCAATTTATTTTTTAAATTCTCTGAAGTGTGTTTCTCCGAAATTTCGACAGTGGATAATGTAACATTGTTGTACTTCCATGTACTGTCTATTACATGACTAGTAATAGTCATATATGAATTGGATGATCTTGATGTCCACATATCAGTTGTGACTGCCACATTTTTAGCTTCAGACAACAATTTCTTGACTTCGCTGGTCTTGTTGTCGTATGATAATTTTACACGACTCAGCACACTTTACACTCTTAAAGGAATTTTGTAAGTCGGTTCGAGAAATTTCATAAATTTCTGAAATCCTTTACATTCCACAAAGCTTAGTGGTAGCATATCTGTGGAAATCATTTCAGCAAGTAAGCATGTAATTTTCTCGCCCCTTTCTTCCAAATACTTGCTGCTTCGAAATGCTCCTGTGATTTTTGTCTGTGTCAATGAAGTTGTTTGAGAATCAGCTGAAGTGATGCTAATATCTTCAGAGTCACTCAGGATCTCTACCTCTTCTTCAACGTTCATTGAACATCTAAAACAGTGAAATATGTTTATTCACTATTTCTTTATTCATGTGTATATGTGTATTATGTGTATATAATGACAAAAAATTCTAAAGATTGAAGTTGGACAATCAATAGGGCCAATGATGGACTATTATAAAATAATTTGATATTTAAGTTTCATAAGCTTGTTTCATTTTTTTCAATGGAAAGTAATATTAATATTATTAGAGTGATACTTGTAATATTTGTAATATTTAAGTTAAAAATATATATTTTACACACTATTATTTGCAGGCGCCCATTACTGTCGTCAAATTATGTTTTATTATACTCAGCTTATTTATTATTTAATTACTATTTATTTATTTATTACTAAATTATATCATTAACATGAATTTAGCAAGTAGGATTTTCTGGTGGAAACGTAAACTCCTTCGAGAAATTGCGTTGTGCTATCTTATATATAAAAATGGATCGCAAAATGTGTTGGTAAGCGCATAACTCAACAACGCATGGACCAATTTGGCCAATTCTTTTTTTAAAATGTTTGTTAAAGTCCAAGGATGGTTGTTACGGCGAAAAAAAAACGAATAATTGCCGGGAAAACCCTCAAAACAGCCCTTTTCTTCTTTAATCGAGTAGGCAACGCAATTTGTAAAAAAAACAATGATCTATGTCATGACATTTTGTGTAGTTTTTGATAATCTGATTTTGAATATATTTATATAAACATAGAAATATCTTTCTATTAATCAAGCTATATTGGCAGCCAAAAACATTGATGTAAATTAATTAAATTTCAAAATTCAAGAACAAATTACAGACGAATCAGTTGATTCGGCAACTAACCAAGACGATCCACCGGAGTTTTTAAACTCGCTGGATTTGCCAGGATTGTTACCTCACAATCTTCAATTAAAGGTTGGATCGGCAATTATAATGTTGCGAAATATCGACCAACTATATTCAAAGGATAGTATAAAGCAGAAGATGTTCTCGCACCATGCATCCCAATGCGTTTCCAATTGTATGTTGTCTGTTCCCGTATTGGAAAACCATCAGATTTGTTTGTCTATGCGCCAGGTAATCAAACAATTAACATCGTTTATCACAAAGCACTACAATGAAAATTGAACTGATTTTTGAATTATGATTTACATTATTAAAATTACTTACTTTTAAATGCTTATAGTGTTTTATTTAATTATTTTTAATTCACACCGAATTTTTACCAGGGTGACGGTTCTGTTCAGGATAATTTTTTGCAAAGAAAAGAAAAAATGTAGGCACAAAACACCGCCACATTACGATTTTTTGACAGGACGAAGTCTGTTGGGTCGGCTAGTTTATTATAAAAGTATTAGCGGCACAATAAAAGTTTCAGAAACAGAGCAATTTACGCATTTTGCATTAGTTATTCAAAACTATATAAGTATATATACTTATATAGTTCTGAATATCTATCTAGCTATTCAGAACTATATAAGTATAGTGTTGGATAACTAATATAAAATGCATAAATCGCTCTTTTTCTGAAACCTCTATAATTATCTACTTATATGTTGTAGTGGTATTCACCCTTTACAATAGTTATAAATAATATTATAAATTCGATATAACAACCAATATGAAAGACGCAATACGTTGTTGGCTTACAGCTCATAGATTGTATCAGAGATAAGAATGACGCGTGGCCGTTGCAACATTGTATGCAAGTCAGTAACGGTTTTGTAGGGTTTTGCGTCTAAAGTAAATAGGAGTGAGTCATTTTAACGTATATTTCTAGAAGAATGATTGCGTCACCAACGGAGATTATAAAAAGCCGGAGGACGGGCAAAACGTGGTCACTCATAGCTTACTTGCCAAACAGTTCACATCACTCTGATTCAAAATATCAATTGTGTATTAAGTGTAACTAAGTAATGAATTAAATAAAATTTATAAAAGTCTTCAGATGTTTAATTAAATATTTCACAGTGGTAAAGTTTATGAAAAGCAGCAGAAGAACCTAAATTTTAATTGTTGGCATCGATTGGACGCAACATAACTGTTGGTGACGGCCTCAACATAAATTGTTGTTAACCCAGGGGTGCACAACAATGTATAACTATAGTCATACCAACTATGAGTTTCAAAACAATTTGTGAAAAATTTAATATTTCTATTTAGTATTGAAAAGTAACACATGTAACGAAAAATCAAATACGAAAAGGGGCTGTAATTGGCACTGTGTCTGAAAATATGTTATGCAAAAATTTTGCACTACATGTTAAACAGTATAAGCTGATATTAATAAAAATGTGTTCCAAATTAGATTTTATAAAACTTTTACACTTGATTGTCACAAAAGGATTCAATTAATAAATGAATATTAATGGAATATTAAAATCTGATAAATTATTTACCTTTGGCGCTTTCTAGGAGTTGAAGAAGTTCCGAAAGAGTTTTTCTCGATATCGAAAACACTATGAATAGTCTTCAAATGTTTTCGAATTGAGCTAGTACTTCCTACAACGCACTTCAGTTGTTTTTTGCAAAACTTGTATTCAGCGGTATCAACCGATATTTTTTTTAAAATAACACCAAACTGAACTTTGTTGATTCATCATTATAATTTGTTGTCGGTACAAAAAGATTAATAAATTTGACAAAATACACGAAATTTTAAAATCGCAATTTTAGCAAATTATGTGAAATTGATAAATATAAAAGATTAATTGAAAATGTTTTACCTTAACTTTAAAAATTTCAAAATTAGAAGTATAATTATAAATGATATTTCTAAAATAAACTTTAATAATAGCAAATTGCGTGTATTTTCTTCAAACGACTGTAAGAAACTGATCCTTGAAACACTTGAGGCAAATCTTTCATTTAGGAATTCTAAAGACATCCAAGAATTACTCCGGGGTTGTGGTAGGTAAAGAAAATTTGAAACAAAATGCACAAAAAATCTATACCGTAATATTTAAGTGTGACTTTAACTGAAAACATATTACGGAATTATAATCATATTTAAACTTTTTAAAAACTGTTCAATAAAATCATCAAAATAATCATAATTAGAGCTATTATAGTAATAATATGATTTGTTATTAAATTAAAATTATAATTAATTAATATTATAAAATTAAAATTATTAAAGAAATGTAATAAATTTAATTATCGAATTAAAAATGTACGCCGCTTTGTAAGAGTCAACCATTTTTTTATACGAAAATATTTGTTGAAAAAACGAGATACATATAGTAATTTATCGTTTTTTGATATACGAGCCGTCGAAGGCGCTCGTATATTGTTTGCTTCAATATACGAACAAAATTCGTGATACGCGCCGCCAAAGAAGCGATGCCGCTAGCAAGACCGCCAGATTCTGTAAATTTATAAGAGTGTGAATGAAGGAGATTCATTTAAATAGGATTTTTGTATATGAAGTTGCATACAAATATTAGTGTCATTTGTTTATAGTCAAAAATTTCAATTAATTAATATTAATTGTTACATTATTCTTGTTTGTCAGATACAACAATTCACACCCATTGTGATTATTTATGTTAATGTAAAAAGTAGCGTTTTATAATAACTGTTATTATAAAATGTTACTATAATAACATTTTATAATTGTTGAATATTTTAGTATGAAATATTTTAAAATGTATAGCTTTTTACTACTACTATTATAATTTTATAATAATTGTTATTATAAAATGTTATTATAATAACATTTTATAATTGTTCAATATTTTAGTATGAAATATTTTAAAATATATAGCTTTTCACTGTTATTATAATAATATTTTATAATTGTTGAATATTTTAGTATGTAATATTTTAAAATGTATAGCTTTTTACTGTTGTTATAATAGCATTTTATAATTGTTGAATATTTTAGTATAAAATATTTTAAAATGTATAGCTATTTACTTCTGAGAAATTAAAAATAGTTATATGTTTTAGTCTGAAATTTTCCATTGCATGCCATCGGTCTTTAGCCCATAAATATTGATTTTAATGACTTCACCAAATCATACTTTGACACTTGCTTTCAGAAAGACCGCCAACTATTTTCAATAGACAACACCCGACTACAAGAGCCGTATTTCGTTGGTCCAATGATCTAATCCAATGATTTAAGTAAAATATATTTTACTTAAACAGTATAGAATTTTAAAAATAGTATTGGACCACTATAATGTTTCGAATAAAAATACTCTACAATTATCATTTCACGTGAGCGAATTGATTTCTATGATATTATCTAATTTAGATAACAAATATTTGTTTCAGAGACCGTATATCAATTTAATGAATTCAAATTTTTCTTCATATGGATCAATCGAGAATAAATCAAGCAAATTTCATAAAAATGAATTCAAATTTTTCTTCATATGGATCAATCGAAAGTAAATCAAGCAAATTTCATAAAAATTCGGGAAACAAGTATCAATTTAAAATTTTCATCAAAACAATATTTAAAAATTAAACAATCGACAGGATGAGTGTAATGAAATAATATGAATATTTGTTCGTAATATATAAAGACTCTTTCAATCGTCGCATCTGTTTGATAAGTCGCGTATTGTTTTATACGTTGTTGCGACCCAATGGTTTAACTATAAC